CTCAGGCATTCTCCTTGGGTTTGCTCTGTTGATTCGGCCAAAGCCCAGCTTCATTGGTCTGCTGAGAGCAACGCCTGCTGCCATAGATACGTTGATGGGTGAGGGACGAGGCATCCCTGTGACGATGAAATACACAGCATGGCAGCAAAGAATCCGTATGGCTGCTGCTGCTGTATTTCTTGCCCTGTAAGTCTGAAATATCTTTCAATGCTGCCAGGACTTTCAATGTTCCCACTTAATCTGTCTCTCCAACTGTTTCCTGCAGGCTGACGTCAGCGTTCATTGTTCTTTTTGTGATGAACAACATAGCCGACGAATGCTCATGGTGCCATTACATGGCATGCATTCCCACATCGTTCTGGACTTGTGATGTCTCAACTGCTCCTACATCTGCTGCTCCAATTTGTCAGGTTGACGTCATCTCCAATGGACTCCATCAGGTCCCCAACCTGCTTCTGATGCAATGCTGTTTTCCTCACAGGTTAAGACTTTCTCGAATCACACGGGTTTCCTTTTGTGCAGCAACAGCACCAGTGTTGCCTTCTCCACTCTGTCTGTTGGCTCTAACAATGACTTGCGAATGCTGTGCACACAAACATGTGCGCCATGAGTGCCTTTGCCATGGTTATAGTGAATGTGGACCACTTTTAAACACTAGACATTGGCCAGATTAAATTACAAACCTACGTACATATACCCATGGGCCATGACACCATCTGCGACAGTTTGAATAGGCTGGCCTGGCTTTGATGTAAACGGTCCTGTATTTGCCTGTGCCTGACACCAGTGGCAGCTAATACCAAACTGCTACCGTATGAAACACAAGTCTTTCATGACAGTCTTCCGTGCTACATTCTAATAAATAACCTGCAAGCAACAGGTACCAGAGAAGAGAACTAAACACTAGGCACCAACAGCCTCTTGTGCATCCTGCCCATTGCTGGAGCTCCTACTGCTACCCTGTTTAAGGTCATGGTGGTTGTGATGATGGTGATGATGCTGCTCATGATGATGCCGCACCACAAGAACTGGTGCTGGGGAATGATGTGCACAGTAATCGCTCACACTGCCAAGCATCATCCTGCAGTGTCAAGGGACATTGGAAAACATGAAGCAAAATGAGGTCAAGAACATGACTCCCCCTCGTATCCTGTTGTTACCTCTTGCATGCAATCTCTAGTTCTCCATGCAATACCACACTATGCTTACCCCCCTCTTTGTCATCCTTAGCACTTAATGTTGAATTCTCATCACACGTTCACTTTCTCAAGGCCATGCCCCCTCCCTAAGGTTGCTGTCATACGTCCAGAGATACTAACCCTTTACCACACTGACACAAGCAGCAAATCACTATGCCGTGAGCTTACATACCCAACCTCTTACCCCAAACCCCATTAAGCATCCATACCTCTTCATGGCTCCTCTAGCTCTGCTGCCCATCACCACAGCATCCACATGGAAGTGTTGCGCCACATCGCAGATGACGTGGCGGGCATCCCCAAGTTCCACGTGGCCCTCACACGCCAGTCCGCGCTCTGCCAGCTCCCTGGCCACTCCCTGCAGCTTCACGTGTGCCTCGTCTTTCCGTGCTTTTGCTGCTTGCGCCAAGTCATCACTGCTGACATGCAGGCCTGACAGGTGGCATGGAATGCGGTTCAATGGAGCAGTGCGACGATAAGTAGATGGGTAGAATGCGTTAACCATTTTAAATGCGCTTCAGAAGGGGACCGGGAATGGAACGGGTTGGAAGAAAGGAGGAGGGGAGGGGGAAGGGATGGTGGAGGAAAGGGGGTGGGTTGAGGGGTTAAGAGCATGGTTGACGTGCAATGGTTCGTGCGAACTTATGATACGCACCGCCTCGACCTGCGGAGAAACGGGATGAAAGCAGCGACGTGTGTGGCAGCTTTTAAGCCTCTTAGTATTTTGCCCCTAGGGATTAGCTTTCAAGCGACGCAAGCGGCCCAGTTCATTGTGCATTTTGGAGGGAGAATTGTGGCGATCGCGGGAAACGCGGAGGACGCACCTGGTAGAGTAATCATGGAGGGAAACGGCGAGATCGCGCCACCGGATACGGAGGCGGGGCCGCCAACCCCGGGCATGAAAGGCGAGAGCACGTGCAGCAGGAACACGTAGTCTCGCGTCGGCTCCAGAAACCGATCCAGCGCCCACGTCAGCAGCTCGTGGCTCGCTGACGTGTCGTCTAGAGGAATCAGAACCTTGCGCAGCTTGGGGGGGTCAACGGCTTCAGCGACAGGCGCCGTGTCAGGCGCAGCAACGGGTGTCTCAGCCTGAAGCTCTGGGATAATCTCAGAGGTTGCTGACGTACTGAAGTTCGCTGGCGGCGCGACGGGGGCGTCGGCTACGGTGATTTCCGTAGTTGGAGCAGCTTCCGAGGCGGCAACGTTCGGGGAAGGCGCGTCAGCGGGAGGCAGGTCAACGGATGGCGCGTCAGCCGAAGGCGCGGCATCAGCGGAGGGCGCGTCAGACGGCGCGTCAGCAGAAGGCGTGTCAGCGGAAGGCGCTACATCTGCGGGCGTTTGTTCACTGTTATCAGTCACTGGGTTATCTGCAGCAGCAACAGCGGCATCAGGTGCAGTCGTAGCAGTGGCCTCAGCGGAGTCCATGAGTCGATATAGCTAAGAATAAATAAATTAAACTGAGTGAGAAAGAAACTACAAGGCCATGAAGTCGTCTGTTCGTACCAGGAGCGCGTAACAGAGGTATGCCAAGAACAGGCAGGTCGAGCCGGAAACGACGGGAAAGCAATGAAGTTAGCGAGAAAATGTGAGGCATGATTGAAAATGTACTTCCCCACACCGCCGCCTCCCTTCCCCGTTCAACTCGCACCCTTTTCCCCCCTCAATCCCTCGCTTCTCAATCATTCGCCAATCTCCCCCCCTCTCCTGACCTGAACCGATACCCGAAGCGCGATGTTGGTGCAGCTCCACAGTGCGAACCGCGTTGTTTTTCGAAACCGAGCGGAGAGCACGATTGGCCAACCACACGCACGCTACGGGACTCGAAAAGCTGAGCTGGCATGCAATTTCTCCAGCACGTAGAGAAAGTCTCCTGCAATCCACGTCAAGACGAGTCAGATTTTGCGTGGATTCAGGATCCGGGTCATGACTGACTCGTGGTGCCAATCACACCAGAATGTGTGCTGGCTTGTTGAAAGCTGTTTATTCCACGTGGAGTCTGCATCTCGACAACCGCCGAACCGCATCGTCCTCATTATCGGACTCGATTGGGTGGACAAGTTTGGTAGAAATTCTTGGTTACATTGTCACTGTTATAACCGTTTCGTTCTTTTCTGTTACATAGAATGGTTATGATAAATACAGATGATAGCAGATCACGCAAGCACATCGAGGATACCTCTCAATTTCTGCGTGGAAAAAGGCTTTCTGACATTGCGGCGAACGCCATTAGCGCCAGCAGCGCAACCAGCGGCATTATCGTTTACCACCTAGTTTGATCGAAAGGCCATATTGCGAGATTCGACCGCCTCATCGCCACCGTTGACGTACGGTCGTTAGAATCAGCACGATTCACGCAATTAACACGATCAGCACCATCCATCCGACATGGCGATCTGTCGGGCTCCAGTGCGCGTCCTTCTCGCGTCCCCGCCCGTGCCGCGATTACAGCGCGTCCATACCTCCTTAATCACCTTACCAACGTTCCGCCAGATCCCACGCGGCTCGGCTCCTCGCAGTCGTCTTTCCGTTACTTACTCTCGGTTGGTGGCTACGCGCTCCTCACTCGATGCTCCAGCCGCTCCGCTAGGAACATCCCCGCTACAAGATGTCGTATCCGCTGATAGTAAAGACAGATCGGAAAGCGCCGAGCTGTCGCATCAGTGGCGTCGCTTTGCGTCGCAGCTCGTCGCACACCAGTTCCTGGCTGCACGTGGCGAAGTCGCAGACAGCCAACCGGCGACAGCGCAGCAGGAGACTGAGAAGGACGAGTCACAAACGCCCCAAATAGAGGTACCCGAAAGAGACGATTCTGTCGAAGCCGCTGTATCAGCACAGTCTCCAAACGAGGATGCGCCGCCCGAGCTGATTTCAGATACTAGGTTGGATACGATTCTGTCGGACAAGGGAGAGGCGAAGCGCGCCGTTTTGGCCCTAGCGAGATGCTCGCCGCATCTGTTCAGGTAGAAGCGGGGAAAAGGGGAGAGAGAGGCAGAGGGGGGGCGGGGGGGGGGAAGGAGGGAAGAGGGGAGGGAGGGAAGAGAGTTTGGGACACAGAACAGGGTCTTAGCTTTAGGCATGGTGCAAGCTTTTAGGCGGAGGAGCGGGCAGAAATTCCAGGTCTCGGGTTTAGAGCTTTAACAATTTGAATCACTTGTAGTGAGCGAAATTACGGTTTTATTCTGAAGCGCCTGTTCAACTCTTGCACCAAGCTGCCCCTCTTTTTTTTCCTCTCCCTATTCTCCCGTTTCCACCCGATCACAGCTCCTTCTCATTGGGCGACGTGCGAGCAATTGTTTCTGCGGGCTGCCCGTCAACTGACCGGAAAGCAGTGAATGCAGCCAAGCGCCTGCGCTCCCTCCTCTCCCTCCCAGAAGCAAAGGTGAGCTCTAACCCTCTCCGCACCCTGCCTTGCACCCACCGTTGCACTTCCCCTCCCCCCTCTCCCTGCTCCTACCTCTTTCTCACTGAAGCAAAGGTCAGCTTTAACCCTCTTCGCACCTCCCACGTCCTTGCTACGTGCCGCTCTAGCCACATCCTCCTTTCCCTGCATCCTGCTTTTCAGCTTCCCCCCTTTTTTTGCTGTGTCATCGTTTTCGTTCGCAGGTCTGCCCTCGCTGCCCGCTGAGGAACACTTGTGCACGGGCAGGCAAGGAGATTGCACCACAGGAGGGCTATTCTTTTGTGCTGCCCGCAGCAGCGCTTACTGGAACAGTTGTAACGGGCAACTCCAGAGATGTAACAGATAGCATCAGAGATGTAACGAACATTGCCAGCGCCACATCTGATGTTCTGCGGCTGGCGATGGGCTACGCTGTTCTGGCTGAAGCTGAAGCTGCCGCCACTGCTGCAATGACCCCTGCCGCTGGTGCTGGTTCTGCGGATTTTGCCCCGTCCTACCGCCGAAAGCCTGTGTCTGCGGCGGCAGCAGCAGCCGCAGCGTCTTCAGCTCGCATCCTGCTTGCGGCAGGAGAGGAAGTGCCTCATGCTGCTATCAGGTGAGAAGCGTGGCATGTGGATGTCACATGGCAGGTGAGTGGCATGGCATGTGGATAGCACACGGCAGGTACGAATGATGCCAGGTAAGCGTGGCGTGATGTGAGAATGTCTTTATATATATGGCACAGTGCATCAGCCGTTTCACCTTCATCTTCCGCCTTTCCCCCACATCCTCCCCCGCCTCTCCTGCTCTTTCTTCCAGGAGGCAGGCCCAGCCGGCAACAGCCAGTGCTGCAGTTGTTAGCACTGGCAGCAGGGGTGAGTGGCAGCCTAGCAGGGAGAGCAGAGAGATCAGAGAGAGCAGGGAGAGCAGGAGGGGAAGAAGAGGCAACAGGAAAGAGATAGGCAAGAATGGAGAGAATGGGGAGAATGGGGTCATGGAGAGTGAGGGGGGGAGTAGAGGCGGGTACTGGAAGAAAAGGCCTGTGCATGGGGATGAGGGGTCAGGGATGGCATGGGGAAGAGGGAGGGAGAGTGGGAGCAAAAAGAGCAGCAGTGGGGGCAGCAGTGGCAGCAATGGCAGCAGCAGCAGTAGCAGCAGAGGCAGAAGCAGCAGCAGCAGCAGCAGCAGCAGCAGCAGCAGCAGCAGCAGCAGCAGCAGCAGCAGCAGCAGCAGTGGCTCAAGGGTGGAGAGGTGGAGTCCAAGTGAGGGCTTGCAGAGGGAGGGGCGGAATGACGGGAAGACAGGCAGAAGGGAAAGGGGCGGTAGAGTATGGGAGAGGAGATGATAGATTGGAATGTAACTCAAGGGAATGCTGAAGGTCAATACCTTGTACCACACCTATTTTTCAGTCATGTGGAAGAAATGGGAGACTTACACTGTGGAAACTGTTCACACAAATGTTTACTGATTTTTACTGCATTACTGCAGCACTAGTAGGTACGGTACTGGTATTTCAGCAAATTTACCTGTGGCACAGTTTATACCAGTAGGGCGTGCAGGATAGAAAGATCTGTGGCGCATGTGTCGGCCTGAAATGTTGCCAGGCAGTGACCATGTGTTGTGTCTCAAGCTCAGCCTCTTGCTCCTTAGAATCAACGAATCTTTCTCCCAACCCAAGTCCCTTTTTCAGAGCAAACAACAGTTATCATAAACTGGTCGAAACTGGTATTCACGAAGGCTTGAAATTCGTTCCACGTGCACTATTCACATACAAATGATGCATTTACAACAACTCATGTATGACACTCTAGTCACCCCGCCGCACCTCGCCACTCACATCTCTGTCTCATCCCCTCACCTCTCACATCTCTGACTCATCCCCTGTGACACTAGACTCTGCTGGCCGTCAGAAAGTGACCTGAGCTTTTCTCCCCACCTATCTCCGCAACTGTCTCTCACCATATGACACCGCCTGCATCAGTCAAAGGGGGCAAGCCCCAGCCCCTCCCCCAGCTGCACCACCCTCAGGTCCGCCCTCAGGTCCAACTGTCTCTCACGTGCATGTCTCCGTGCCGAAAGAACCTGCCATTGTCCCTCACCACCTCACTCCACGGGTCCAGCAGGCTGCAGTAACTGCAACCTTCACAAGCCCATCCCCGTCCACCCACCTGCCTCTCCCCTCACCACTTGACCGCCTGCCTCGTCAGTCAAATGGTGCAAGCCCCAGCCCCTCCCCCAGCTGCAGCACCCTCAGCTCCGCCCTGAGGTGACTTTTGAGTCGACTCAAAAGTCAACCCGCCCTGAGGTGCATCACCCCGTTTCTGAGATACTTGCCATTGTCCCTCACCACCTCGCTCCACGGGTTCAGCAGGCTGCGGTAACCGCGCTCCTCAACTCCCCCCTCACCACCACCCTCAGTCAAAGGGCGCCAGCTTCTCCCCCAGCTGCAGCACCCTCAGCTCCGCCCTCAACTGCTTCACCCCATTGCGAAAATAAGTCGATTTATGAGTCGACTCAAAAACCGCGTGTAGTGAGTCGATTTTTGAGTCGACTCAAAAACCGCGTGTAGTGAGTCGATTTTTGAGTCGACTCAAAAATCGACCCCCAGCTGCAGCACCCTCAGGTCCGCCCTCAACTGCATCACCCCGTTGCGAAAATACTTGCCATTGTCCCTCACCACCTCGCTCCAAGGGTTCAGCAGGCTGCGGTAACCGCGCTCTCTAAAGAGCCCCTTGAAGGTGTGCGATGCGGTCTGCTTCTGCTGCACGAATTGGCCGGAAGGGTGCTCTTTCACGAGAAAGGTGAACTCGATGGTCACACTGTCATCCAACACCCTGTCGTGCGTGGGGCTCCTCTGAAGAGGGAAGGAGGGGAGAGTGAAAGGGAAGGGGATTGGGAGAGAGGGAGCAAGTGAGAAGAGCACAGGTCCTGGGACAGGCCCGAAGGGTGCTCTTTCACAAGAAAGGTGAACTCGATGGTCACACTGTCGTCCAACACCCTGTCGTGCGTGGGGCTCCTCTGCGGGATGGGGCAAGGGTGTGGGTGGGAAGAAGGCAGTGAGCATTAACTGGTGCTTCTGCTTCTGCCTCTGCCCCTCGATGGTCACACTGTCGTCCAACACCCTGCCGTGCGTGGGGCTCTGCTGAGGAGAGAGCGGGAGAGGGGTGTGGGAAGGGGTGTGAGAAGGAGGGTGGGAAGAAGGCAGTGAGCAATAAGTGGTGCTTCTGCCTCTGCCCCTCGATGGTCACACTGTCGTCCAACACCCTGTCGTGCGCGGGGCTCCTCTGAGGAGAGGGATGGAAAGGTGAAGGGAAAGGAGAAGGGGAATAGGAAGGGGTGTGGGAAGAGGGCAACGTTTATGGGTGCTTCTGCCTCTTCCCCTCGATGGTCACACTGTCGTCCAACACCCTGTCGTGCGTGGGGCTCCTCTGAGGGGAGAGCGAAGGAGAAGGGGTAGGAGGTGGGGGAGGGGAAGGGAGCGGGGGCAGGGAATGGGAGTGGGAGGGAGGGGGTGAGTAACAGTCGAGCCTTGGAGGAAGAGACAGAAGCCTGATCTTCGAACAAGTCAGCAGCACAGGGCTGGAAGATGGGGAAATTAAAAAGGTACCTGGGAGGCCTGGAGGAAGGAACCGAAGTATGATTGCCCCACAGAAAACAGCTTATTGCACACCCGTGGGAACAGCTTATTGCACACCCGTGGGAACAGCTTATTGCACACCCGTGGGAACAGAAACCGAAGGTACATAGAGAAACGAGCGGGAACAGCTTATTGCACAACCACGATCAAATGCTAAGGGGAGTGAGACCGTACCTGGGAGGCATGGAGGAACAGGCCTAAGTCTGATCCCCCAACAGGTGCAGCCACCCGCACGACCTTTAGAGATAAAAACCAGTTTTTGAGGCCAGAAGCTGAGGGGATGGGATATGTACCTGGGAAGCTATTTTTGAGTCGACTCAAAAAAAGAAGCTGAGGGGATGGGATAGGTACCTGAGAAGCTTGGAGAAACAGGCCGAAGTCTGACCCCCCAACAGGCGCTGCCACTCGCATGACCTTGAGCGAGAAGAGTTTGCCGTGCAGCCACGCTCCTCCTGTGTGTGAGGAGATGGGAGGGGAGAAAAACGAGAATAAGAAGGGGGCGATTAGACCACATGTACATACACGCATAGTCACTGAGCTACCAGCAGTATCGCCTGCCCCTGCTTTAGCATGTAACAATCCTGCAGGAATTTGTTACAGACAGACTGCTGGTATCAGTGCGCACACACTATAGCACATGTACAACAACGTTGCACACATGCTCACCTGCTAGCAGTATCGCCATTGCACCCACGCTGAAAGTGCATGCAGTATTACCTGCTAGCAGTATGTACGGCCTGTCCCGGCTGTAGCATGTAGAAGTCCTGTAGCATGTAGAAGTCCTGTAGCATGTAGAAGTCCTGTAGCATGTAGAAGTCCTGTAGCATGTAGAAGTCCTGTAGCATGTAGAAGTCCTGTAGCATGTAGAAGTCCTGTAGCATGTAGAAGTCCTGTAGCATGTAGAAGTCCTGTAGCATGTAGAAGTCCTGTAGCATGTAGAAGTCCTGTAGCATGTAGAAGTCCTGTAGCATGTAGAAGTCCTGTAGCATGTAGAAGTCCTGTAGCATGTAGAAGTCCTGTAGCATGTAGAAGTCCTGTAGCATGTAGAAGTCCTGTAGCATGTAGAAGTCCTGTAGCATGTAGAAGTCCTGTAGCATGTAGAAGTCCTGTAGCATGTAGAAGTCCTGTAGCATGTAGAAGTCCTGTAGCATGTAGAAGTCCTGTAGCATGTAGAAGTCCTGTAGCATGTAGAAGTCCTGTAGCATGTAGAAGTCCTGTAGCATGTAGAAGTCCTGTAGCATGTAGAAGTCCTGTAGCATGTAGAAGTCCTGTAGCATGTAGAAGTCCTGTAGCATGTAGAAGTCCTGTAGCAGCACCTCGCTACAGATGGACAGCCTAGCGTGCAGGCGATCAGCTGTTGAGGCGCCTCAAAAATAGCGTGCAGGCGAACAGCTGTTGAGGCGCCTCAAAAATAGCGTGCAGGCGAACAGCTGTTGAGGCGCCTCAAAAATAGCGTGCAGGCGAACAGCTGTTGAGGCGCCTCAAAAATAGCGTGCAGGCGAACAGCTGTTGAGGCGCCTCAAAAATAGCGTGCAGGCGAACAGCTGTTGAGGCGCCTCAAAAATAGCGTGCAGGCGAACAGCTGTTGAGGCGCCTCAAAAATAGCGTGCAGGCGAACAGCTGTTGAGGCGCCTCAAAAATAGCGTGCACGCGAACAGCTGTTGAGGCGCCTCAAAAATAGCGTGCAGGCGAACAGCTGTTGAGGCGCCTCAAAAATAGCGTGCAGGCGAACAGCTGTTGAGGCGCCTCAAAAATAGCGTGCAGGCGAACAGCTGTTGAGGCGCCTCAAAAATAGCGTGCAGGCGAACAGCTGTTGAGGCGCCTCAAAAATAGCGTGCAGGCGAACAGCTGTTGAGGCGCCTCAAAAATAGCGTGCAGGCGAACAGCTGTTGAGGCGCCTCAAAAATAGCGTGCAGGCGAACAGCTGTTGAGGCGCCTCAAAAATAGCGTGCAGGCGAACAGCTGTTGAGGCGCCTCAAAAATAGCGTGCAGGCGAACAGCTGTTGAGGCGCCTCAAAAATAGCGTGCAGGCGAACAGCTGTTGAGGCGCCTCAAAAATAGCGTGCAGGCGAACAGCTGTTGAGGCGCCTCAAAAATAGCGTGCAGGCGAATAGCTGTTGAGGCGCCTCAAAAATAGCGTGCAGGCGAACAGCTGTTGAGGCGCCTCAAAAATAGCGTGCAAGCGAACAGCTGGCGCCATTGCACCCACACTGAAAGCGCATGTAGACTTACCTGCTAGCAGTATCGCCTGTCCCGGCTGTAGCATGTAGCAGTCCTGCAGCAGCACCTCGCTACAGCAAGAGAGCTGGCACCGGAGCAAACACCATCAACACACACTCCCCAACAATGCACGCACAGTTACCTGCCAAGAGTATTGCCTGTCCCGGCTGTAGCATGTAGCAGTCCTGCAGCAGCACCTCGCTACAGACGGACAGCTGGCGCCGGCGCTGGTATCGCCTGTGCTGCTGCTGAATTGAGCCTAGAATCAGTTGCTGCTGGCGTTCAAACGAGGAGCACTTGAACCAGAGGGCCTCTGTGACGAGTGCGTGGAGGGTGGGGGAGTCCGCTTCTGGTGTGGTGGTGATGAGCGCATGCAGGGCAGATGTTGCCATTGCTGGGAAGCGAATGTTGCCTGCTAACCTGGGGAGGGGGGGAGGACAAGGAGGAAGCGAATGAGAGGGGAAATGGATTAAGAGGGAAAAATGGTGGAAACGTTGGCTTCTGGTGTGGTGGTGGTGAGCGCGTGCAGGGGGGAATGTTGCAATTGCTGGGAAGTGACAGTTGCCTGCTAGCCTGGGAGTGGGGGAGGAGAAAAAGAGGAATCGAAGGAGAAGAGAAACGGGATAAGAGGGGAGGAGGGTTAGGGAATCAGCTTCTGGTGTGGTGGTGGTGAGCGCGTACAGGGCAGATGTTGCCATTGCTGGAAAGCGAATGCTGCCTGCTAGCCTGGGATGGGGGGGTCGAGGCGAGGGGAAGAGAGGGGTAGGAGGACGCTAGGAGGGAAATAGAGAGGAAAATTCTTGGAAGGAAGCGAACCTACAAGCACTTCTATGAGGCTGAGAAAACCCCACCACCCACTCACTAACCTTCCCAGCATCTCCTTGCGCTGTGCTAAGTCGTCCGGCCAGTGGTGCCGCACCCAGTGCAGGCAGGCTTGCAGCACCGTCTCCTCGGCCTGCACTCCCACGTCGTCGCTCCCCAGCAGGGCTTGCAGCGCCTCGAGAGGGAGAGAGAGAAAGTCGGGCGTCTGCCAGGTGGCATCCAGAGAGGTGAAGTGCTGCACCAGGAAGGCCGAGGAGGAGGCAAGGAGGAAGGAGGCTGGTGGGGAGAGTTGAAGGGAGGAAAAGGAAGGGAAGAAAAGAAAACGAGGTCAGGCGTGTGCCCGGTGGCGTGGAGGGAGGTGAAGTGCTGCACCAGGAAGGCTGAGGAGGAGGCGAGGAGGAAGGAGGCTGCAAAGGGCATGTGGAAAGAGGGAGAGAAGAGAACAGAAAGGAAGGAAGTCGGGCGTGTGCCAGGTGGCGTTGAGGGAGGTGAAGTGCTGCACTAGGAAGGTGGAGGAGGAGGCGAGGAGGAAGGAGGCTGCAAAGGGGCAGTTGAAAGAGGGAGGGAAGGGAGTCAGCAGTTTTCCAAGCAAGCAGGTGGCGTGGTGACTTTTGAGTCGACTCAAAAGGGAAGGGAAGTAAAGGGAAGGGAAGTAAAGGGAAGGGAGTCAGGTGTTATCCAAGCAAGCAGGTGGCGTAGAGGCAGGTGAGAAGTGCTGCACCAGGAAGGCTTAGGAGGAGGCGAGCAGGAAGGAGGCTGCAGAAATAACAGAGGGGAAGGGAGGGAAAGGGAAAGAGAGCATAGAGTGGGCAGAGAGTGGGCAGAGTGAGTGACCAGAGGAAGCCGGAAGTCTGCCACCTGTGGAATTGAGAGAGGTGAAGTGCTGTACCAAGAAGGCGGAGGATGAGGCGAGCAGGAAGGAGGCTGCAGAGGGGAACATGAGGAAGGAAGGGTAAGGGGATGAAAGGGAGGGCGGCTCTTACGGCTAAGTGGGGAGATAACAGGATGAATACAGGAGAACGGGAGAACGCGGTTCTGAGTAGCCCTTGGCCTTACCACCCACGCACCCACCTACCCTTGCACTCACCTTACGAGCAACAGTTAGTAGGAAAGGAAGCAGTCGGACTATTAACACACAAAAAAAAAAAAAAAAAAAAAAAAAAAAAAAAAACCCGACCCACCATAAGGCTTTGGGACCTACCCCACCAGCCAGCGTCCTACTTACCAGCGTCAGAGAGAGCAACGTTGGAGCAGACTCGGAGGAGCGTGCAGGCGATGTCAAGCGTCAGAGGCACCTCCCTGTAGCGGAGAAAGAAAGAAAGAGTGTATGGCAGCAGATCAGGTGAGAGGCACTTCCCCCAGTACACAGATAGTGGATGGTGGAAAGGTGAGAGGAGAATGGGGAGAGGGTGGGGAGAGGGTGGGGAGAGGGTGGGGAGAGGGTGGGGAGAGGGTGGGGAGAGGGTGGGGAGAGGGTGGGGAGAGGGTGGGGAGAGGGTGGGGAGAGGCAGGATAAGACGGAGAACTTATTGGCGAGCAGCAGCAGGTGCAGCAAAGCCTTGGGATCATCGTTCCAGCAGATTCCGCTTTTGAGTCGACTCAAAAGCAGATTGCGAGAGGGGAGTGGGATGCAAGTTCTGAGAGTTCTGCTTTTGAGTCGACTCAAAAGCAGATTCCTGATACTGTTAAGGGTTTGGGGTACACTGCTTACCTGAGGTGGTGCGCACACACGTCTACACATGACAAGACGAATAACTTGTTGGCGAGCAGCAGCAGGAGCAGCACTGCCTCAGGATCATATTTTCAGCAGTGACTGGTACAACAGCGGCACAATTGTTACACTTCCTACCTCAGGTGGTGTGCGCACGAAGAACTTGTTGGCAAGCAGAAGTAGCAGGTGTGCGCACACCACCTGAGGACAACCTCGGGATAATCCCGCTCCATTCTATGACAGCCCACGGCGCTCTTTTTGAGGCGCCTCAAAATGCACCTCAAAATGCACACCACCTGAGGACAACCTCGGGATAATCCCGCTCAAGGCGCTCAAGGTGCCTTCTATTACAGCCCAAGGCGTTCTTCTCATCACCGTGACTCCTTTTGAGGCGCCTCAAAAGTCGCCTCAAAAGGCGCCACATAAGGCGCCTGAAAAGGCGCCTCAAAAGTCCATCTTAAAACAGCCCAAAGCGTTGTTCTCATCACCGTCCGTGACTGCAGAATCACCGACCTCAGGTGGTGCGCGCACACGTCCACACAGGATAGCACGGAGAACTTATTCGCCAGCAGCAGCAGGTGCAGCACAGCCTCGGGATCATCGGAGCCTAGCCGCCCCGTGTACAGATAGTGCAGCAGATGCATGAAGGGGTGATGCTCTGTGGGCGAGGGAGGGGGAAGGGGAGAGGGGGAATGGGGAAAGGCCACTCATCGATCATTGGAGCCCAGGCGCCCCGTACAGGCAGTGCAGCAGATGCATGAAAGGCTGTTGCTCTGTGGTGAGAAGAAGTGAAGAGAATGGGAATGCGAAAGAGCGGGAAGAGAAGGATGCAAGATGAGGGGGAGCGGTGAGTGGGGCAACGGGGGTGCACGTGAGTGTCTTGCTCAGGTTGCTTCCAGCAAGACGTTGACCAGTGGAAGATGAAAGAAGACTGTTCTCGTTTTGAGGCGCCTCAAACGTTGACCAGTGGAAGATGAAAGAAGACTGTTCTCATTTTGAGGCGCCTCAAACGTTGACCAGTGGAAGATGAAAGAAGACTGTTCCCAGCTTCCACCGGAATTGTGACGGTCAAAGAAGAAAGCAGAATGTTCTCTCGAGAAGAAAGAAAAAAACCAGAACCTTTACCTTCGGGTGCGAGTCGGATGGTGACCGGAGCAGGCTTTGCACAGTCAGACGAAGTAGAAGGAGGAGGGAGAGGAGGAGGCAGGCGCCATTGCGGTGAGAAGAGAGATTTGAAGAAGTCAGACTGGGACACGAGGATGGCTGATATCACGTGCACCTGCACCCTACGAGGCTTCTGAGATGTCTCACAAGGCACCTGCACCTGCTGCTCTGCACCCCCGCTGCTGCTGCTGCTGCTTCTGCTGCTGCTGCTGCTCTTGCTGCTGCTGCTGCTTCTGCTGCCAATGAAAGCAGCACCAGCTGCTGCTGCACCTCCACTGTTTCTGTCAGCGCCAGCAGCAGAGGCTGCTGCGGCATCAGTCACGCCGTCGATCGTGCTTGAATCTGAGCCGTCCATGCCAGCTGTGGCAGCGAGATCTGCAAACGCCATTCCGTTATTCCCCATCCGCTCTTCTTTACCCTTCCGTAATTCCTCTCCGCGCTCTCGCTCGTGACCGTTCTCGTGTCCCTGCTTACGCCATCCTTCCTCCGCGTGCTCCTGCTCTTCCCCCGGCTCACGACCACCTTCGTCCTCCAGCTCATCCGCGGCAATTTCGAGGGAGAGGCAGCGGTCGCTGAATTCGGGGTTGTTGAGTGCAAAGGAGAAGTCGAACGCGCGCGGGTCAGGCGGGTACGACGGCCGCGGCGGCGGATGCGGGCGCTGGTGCGCGGGAAGACCGCAGTGCGTCCGCGCCTCGCCGGGACTGCCGCCGCTGCTGCTGCTTCCGCCGCTGCTCGAATTCATGACGGAGAAGAACTGTGCAGAGGCTAACTAATCAGACTTAATAAGTGGTCTGGAAACTTGGAGTGACAGCTCAGGAACTCTAATTCGGCGAACAAATCCTTACTAAGAACCTTGGCGACTCAGGAAACTAAGGTTCTTTATAGCCCGGAAATCTTCTAATCCTACAAAGGCGGCTGCATGTCCGGCTGACGCGCTGTGATTGGTACCTGGCAGCCGTGTAGCCTGGGTAAGTTGCGCTCCGCAGCGCACGGAAAGCTTAGACCTTCATTTGCAGCTGAGAGCGTTATTGCAAGAGCTGCACGGACGCACTGCCTCTGCTGTCCCTTAAAAGTCGCCCTGGCAGGACGGGAATCAAGCAGGCGACGACGCGTGCAGCAAGGTCGACGGCATGCTACTGGATAAGCAGTCCTCACAGCGCTGGCGATTCGGGATGATGATGTCCGTCACCTGCCAGAAACCTCCCAGCATTCTATGCAGGCCAACTTGCTATTTAGATTGAAGCTAATTCAGAATCTAGTTACAACCACCCATTTTACTATCAGGGAGCTCCCTGCGCTGGCCCATGCCGCATGCCCGACAGGTTGGAAATGAAATCCTGTTTCGACGAAATCGCGCTTGGTAACTGGATTGTTTCGCCGTGACCCGCCCCGCACGCAACTTTCTTGCACCAGGTGCCACGCCAGGAAAGTCGCAAGCGACCTTTGGAACTCTGGTAACAAAGCTCTCATTTCGTGAACCGCGGTAACCGCATCTTGCAGCGTTGAACTCTTCAGCATACACGAGTTCAATATAACAACGTAAAATATCTCCTGTTCATAACATTCCAAGCTGAAACATACCTTGTGTGTGCCTGTAAGGAAATTCCTTTTTCCTTACTTCGCATCTCTGCTCAACGCGTACATCACTGTAGCACCTCAGTCAGCACCGTTACCACTCGCGACCATCGCATCATTCATCATCCCGCCATTTTCGCACATCGCATCCCGACCTCACGGCTCGGCTGGTAACCCGCGCTCCGGACCTACACTTCGACACGTTCCCAACCTCAGTCCCAGGCTCGTCGCGCGACCATTACCGTTACCACTGTAGTTTCGCTATATATTCTTCGCTCATGCCTTCGCTCATTGTACTCTTGCTTCGATAGTGCAATTCTCGTTCGTTCACTCAATTGCACTCGTAACACTTGGTATTCAGAGCCTACGATCCCATCTCGGACCGCATCCACACCTTCGCTTCCCCACTATCTCAATTTTTTGGGGGGGGTAGACGTCTCTCAGCGATACAGCACCGCCGCTCGTAGTGCTCTCTCGCAAGCACGCACGGCCACGACCGAGGCTCTCGCTGAGCTTGCCCGACACCCCCGCCATGGCCGACTTCACGCTCGCCACATTGACGCAGGAGCAACTTGATCGTCTCGTGCGTCAACTGGAGGATTCGGCGCTTGAAATCGCGACCCTCACGGCGGAACGTGACTCCGCCCGTCAACAATCCACGATGAACATACCGACGACATCCCACGCACCAACAAACGCATCTGCACGTTCGGATGAGCCGATCATCATCTGGTCCGGCACACCAACACAACACGACAGCACGGAACAACGCTCAGGCGCAGCCAGTGAGGGCGCCGCCCAGCCGATGCCTGGCATGGGAGGAAACAGGATCGCACCAAGCCCACGGGAGCCTCGAGAAGTCCGTCGGCACGTGGAATTTGCGGCGACAAGTGGCGAACAACCCAACATGGCACCAATGCCGCTCAAGCCGCAACGCCCGCCCTGCTTCGACCCAAGTCAACGTGGCAGTCCGACAGTTCAATCGTGGGTCTTCACGATGAACGTTTTCTTCGACGCCAATTACGTCGAGTCGGACGCCGCAAAGATCCGGTATGCGGTTTCACTGCTAAGGGGCCCCGCCATGGACTGGTGGCGAGTCATCGTGACGTCGCCACGCGCCTACGAGCCACCGTCGCACGAGGAAGGGCCCTCGGGTCCAGCTGTCACCTGGAGTTCGTTCTGCGAGACCGCCCAATACAGCACGTGGGATGCATGGTGCGCAGGACTTCGGGCGCGTTTTGAGCCGATCGCGGCTTCAATTTCGGCGCGTCAGAAACTGCGCACTTGGCGCCAGCTCGGGTCGGTTCAAGACTATACAAGCGGTTTTCTCGCACTTTGCGAGCAGGTCGGCTACATGCACGAAGCGGAGCGGGTGGACCGTTACGTCGGAGGGCTGAAGCCGGACATCTCGCACGAGATAATGCTGCGCGAACTCTTTAACTTCAACGAGATTCTCGCGCTCGCCGAGAAGATCGACATTCTACGCCGACCGAGACCGGGGTCCTATTACGGACATCGTCCTCGAGGACCGACCGAGCACGCCACTGTACACGCCGTCGCAACGAATGCAGCTGCCGCACCGTTTAAGGGGCGCTGCTTTGCTTGCAACAGGCCGGGCCATCGCAAGAGCGAATGCCCAGAGGAGCTGAGGCGCCGAGGAGCAGAGCAGGGGAGGGAGTCTCAGAGGCAGGGAAACGCCAGCAGTCAGTAGAAGTTGGGCCAACTACTGACGAGACTGCCTGCTCGCCCAACCACACCGACCCTCACCGAGTCACAGTACCGATTCACGCCATCGATCGGGCTCGGATGAATAAGGAGGGTACAGCGACGGATTGCCCGGTACTAATCTACGGGAAAATACAGGGAGCAGCAGTGAAGATTTTTATTGACGGAGGAGCAAGTCACAGCTTAGTTAATACCGCAACCGCACGGAAATTACAGTTAACACTTAACCGATGCTTACCTGAGATAGATGCACGCTTAGTCGACGGCACGCCACTGGCTATACGGGAAAAGGTGGAGAGAGTAAAGGTCCGCTGCGGAGGGAACTTCGGGTTTACACAGGAAATGCTCGCAACGACACTGGATGGGCACGACATTTTATTGGGACGTGATTGGCTGCGACGGTATAACCCACGAATTGACTGGACGACAGGTAGCTGCACAGTGCGAAGTAGTGGTAACTAGGTCGTCCTACCTCGCTGGCAGCCACCCGAGCCTTCGACGGTCCAGGTCAACGCCATCACGATGAAACGGGCTGTCGCTGCTGGAGCTGACGTGTACGCAGTGGATATCGCATTAGTGCAAAAAGAGGACCGGCCGAGTGATTTGCAGAAATTGTTGGCAGCCGTACCACCCGAACTACAGGCACTACTGAAACGGTTCCCGGGTATCTTTCCGGATGACATACCGCAAGGGCTGCCACCTCAGCGGGCGCATGACCATAGGATCGAGTTAGAACCGGGGGCACAGCCAACTGTACAGCGCCAATTTCGACTGACACAGCCCGAGCTCGACGAGCTAAGGAAGCAGTTAGATTACCTGTTAGAGAAGCAGTTTATCCGACCGAGCTCGTCACCGTTCGCCGCACCGATACGGTTCACACCGAAAAAAGACGGGGGGGTTCGCATGTGCATCGACTACCGAGCGCTTAACAGGGTAACAGTCAAATCACGATACCCCATCCCCCGCGCCGACGAACTAATCGACCAGCTGCGAACCGCACGAGTATTTTCGAAAATAGACTTACGGGGAGGTTACCATCAAATTCGGGTCGAACCATCGGACTGCGCCAAGACAGCATTTAGGACTAGGTACGGGTCATTCGAGTACACGGTGATGCCTTTCGGGCCGACCAACGCGCCTGCAACATTTCAGATGACCATGAACGAGGCGTTTAGGCCACTTTTAGATAAATGCGTCATAGTTTACCTCGACGACATCCTCGTTTACAGTCGGGACAGTCAAGATACTAGCAATGGGTAGGCTTAGGAGCCTTGGTTGAGTTCGAGTAGTTTTAGTTGAGTCGAGAAATTGGAAGAGAAGAAGTGGTTTCACTATAGAGCGAGCAATACATATAGGCAAAATGAAAGGTGCACCACCAAAACAGAACATTGTATAACTACAGTAATCTACACTACAGGCAGTTACAAAACAATATATAAAACTATATATTATTCTGACAGGGACCAGCAACAGCACTTAGTCGATCTCGAAGCAGTTTTTAAAATTTTAGAGGCACATCGGTTACTCACCAAGGGCTCCAAGTGCGAGTTTTTTCGGGACAGGCTAGAGTTTTTAGGTCACGTCATTTCGGGGGCTGGGGTTGATGTCAGATTATTATAGCTGATGCATGTTTGTAGGCTATAGTGGGGTAGCACATATGGGGTACAGTTTGCTAGGGTTGTATTTGTACCCAACTCTGACTTAGTCAATTCATTCCTGTTCAGTTAGTTTCACATGGTATAGAGCGGGTCCCTCCTAAGGACCGTTCTTTGGGCCCACCCACGATTTTTTTTTTTTTTTTCCTGCCCGGAGCGCGCCCTATTCTCCCCGAGGCGCGCTCCCCCTAGTGCGCGTCGAGCTGCCCTTGTGGCGCCCCGAGAGTCGCGCGCGCGACTCATTTTTTTTCGCGCGCGCGGTTCAGGCCCCACTTCGCGCGGCCCTTACAGCCGCGCCGCGCCGCCCTCTCGGCTCTGCCGCGCCGCGCCGCCCTCAAGACGGCCGCGCGGCCTCTTCATCGCTGCAGCAGGCCCCCCCCCCCGCTGCACCTCTGTCGGCCCCGCAGCCGCCTTACCTGACGGCCGCCGCCTCACCTGACGGCCCGCCGCCTCGACTTCTGGCCCGCCACCTCACCAGACGGCCCCCCCGCCTCACCTGACGGCCCACCGTCTCACCTGCTGGCCCGCCACCTTACCTGACGGCCCCGCCGCCTCACCTGACGGCCCGCCGCCACCTTACCTGACGGCCCCGCCGCCTCACCTGACGGCCCGCCGCCTCACCTACTGGCCCGCCACCTGACCTGACGGCCCCGCCGCCTCACCTGACGGCCCGCCGCCTAACCTGCTGGCCCGCCACCTCACCTGACGGCCCGCCGCCTCACCCGCTGGCCCGCCACCTGACCTGACGGCCCCGCCGCCTCACCTGCTGGCCCGCCACCTGACCTGACGGCCCCGCCGCCTCACCTGACGGCTCGCCACCTCGCCTGCTGGCCCGCCACCTGACGGCTCCGCCGTCCCCTGTCCCGGCCCCGCCGCTGCACCCTGACGGCCCCGCCGTCCCCTGTCCCGGCCCCGCAGCTGCACCCTGACGGCCCCGCCGAGCCGCCCAGCAGCAGCCGAGCCGCCCAGCCGCAGCCGAGCCGCCCAGCGGCAGCCGAGCCGCCCAGCAGCAGCCGAGCCGCCCGGTACCCGAGACGCCCGAGCCGCCCGAGCCGCCCGAGCCGCCCGAGCAGCCCGAGCCGCCTGCTGCTGACCTACCCGACTCTCCCATCCTGGTGAGACTTTTAGCTGCTGCCATGGCCACCCCCAATGTTCTCACTTTTGACACTGAGGGGAGGGCCATTGACTTTGCCGTCTGGATCGAGGACCTGCAGCTGTACTTACTGTGTGATGCGGTAGATGAGGTCTCTCTCTT